TTAATGATTAACCAGATGGAACATTGTGGGTGTGGTGTATGAATGTTAACACTTTGTAATAATTCTTTAGTATATTACTTGTGTGGTGTAGAAGATAATTATTTAGGATTGTAATTATGTAAGAATGTTAACACGCTGTTATAATTCTTTAGTATATTACTTGTGTGGTGTAGAAGAGAATTATTTATGTAGAGATACTGCTTGCAAACCAATGATGGTAAGATGATGTCATGGGGTAGGACTGGATAAGTCTGACTTATTCCTACTCCATTCAAGCATGTACTAGGTATAAGCACATTGATATTGGATTAGCATTTGTTGGATATGTGTAAAATTATGTATGTTGACATATCAACTGTTTTTACATGCTTGAAAGAAAGAATAAATCAAATCAAAATAGAGAACAACATCATTAAAACAACAACTCTTTGGACCCCGAGTAGCAGCTGAAAAGCTTGGTTTGATGACATTGGATTAAATCAGGATCGGATCTAACAGGATGTGTGATTCTGTGAGTTCCTGTATAGCCTGACTGCAGATTTTTGTCACCACCGCCCCCTGCTGGTGCTGCCTGCTTAACAGTCAAAGCGCAGTTAGTGATGGTCCTCTGACACCTGAGGCTCTGACACATGGTAGCTCATGAAGCAATTGTATCGAACCACTGTACCGAGGCGTGTTTTGGTCACATGACTAGTGGCGTTTGAAGCACTTGAGTGATAAGCAGTTGAGTGCGTCTGGTCATATGAATCACCTGAATGGTTGGGTTTGTCAGGGATAGGATATTCCTATTTATTTCTCAATAAAAACTCACGATCAGTTACACAAGCACACCCTCTTTACCCAAGTACCCATGAACTTCTTTACCAATGAACCCCAAAGCATACTTTGCCAAAGCCTGTAATGACCCCTGGCGTGGAGGAGAGAGACTAGCTATACTGGAGCAGCTAAACTAGCTAGCAGGGCGCCAGCACCCATGCCGATCTCAGTTAGTGACTACTCCAGGTCCCATACACCGCACGACTCTGGGTAGCACTTTGCGACTAGTCCAGGTCCCATACACCGCACGACTCTGGATAGCGCTTGGGCGTGTCCTTACAATGACCACAATGCAACACTGACTTCTCGGTCATTTATTTAGAACTCAGAACCTACTGAACAATGGCATTTTCCCCAAGGTCAGTTTCACACATACAATTCAAACTTATGGTACAAAACACAGCACAGCAACCAACTAGCAAAACATCGTCAACATCAACACACAACAGCAAGGTAACACATCAGAACACATTAAAACACTTTAACAACAATTTTACAACTGTTCCCCGAACTAATCAGTGAACTCCTATGATGCCCCCCATGCATCATGTCGCTGCCACCAGACCCCTCCCCAATAGCCGACGTAGGTTGTCACAATATAATCTGTATTTGCACCAGTCCCATGTGAAAATGACATCTGTCTGAATTTGTAGAGCACATCTCATGAATGTAGCAGCACCATTTAAATGTTTCATAACACAAAATATAAGTACATAGGGTTACAATCACACATACCAAATAAGAAACATGGTGTTCAACATGAGTTCATGTTTATTTTATATTTTATTGTGTCAGCTTGAAACCATATAACCATGCAGTGTAGTCGAACAGGAATATGCATGGCAAATCAAATCCCAAACAATCCATGAACCAATAAATGACACGTTTCGATTGCACTTAATTTTATTGACCACTAGGTGTCCGACTCGAGCACTGTTATTGAAGTCTCCAGTAATAAACCATTTTTGTGAATACTGTATCGAAGCTTCTAGAAAGCCTCCATCAGCCATCACTAAGCGCGAGTTTTTACCTCTGTGAGGAGGAGAAGGAGGAGGAGGAGAAGAAGAAGAACAAGAACAAGAACAAGAAAAAGAAGAAGAAGAAGAAGAAGAAGAACAACAACAACAACAACGGCTGCGTCCGAAACCGCCTACTACCATACTGTATAGTAGGCGAAAAGCAGTAGGCGAGGCGAGTAGTATGTCCGGATTCGTAGTATTCCAAAAACAGTAGGCGAAAAGTACCCGGATGACCTACTGCTTCCGGTTGGATTTTGCAGTGTGCATACGATGGACACTTCACTATCCCATGATGCCCCGGGAGAGGAGTTATCCAACGAAGAAGACGCTGCTATGAAAACGTATGTCACGTGATGTATCAACATGGCGGATGTAGTACGTCCGAATCTCATTCATACTACCAGGCTTCATACTATTCAGTACCTACTGTTTTAACGGTCAGTAAGTAGGTACTTCATCTCTTTCAGTACGTACTGTCACAGTATGCGGTTTCGGACGCAGCCAACAGCAGCAACAGCAGCAGCAGCAACAACAACAACGACAACTTCCCGACATGCAATGCGGCGCGCCAATTCGTGTATACAGTGAGGAAGTGTATGTTAAAGTCACTTACTAGCCTAATGTGAACTATTTTCTCTGTTATTATCCAAGTCCCTTGGATGCTGTAAGTCTTTTTCGTTTTAAAATCCAGCGGTCGTAGTGACGGTTAATTTAATCTATATAGCATTAGTCTTTATTGCTCTTAATGTTAGTTTGTTCATAGCCAGACAAAGAGGTTAAATGGGCATATAACGTTAGTCCGAGGAAAACCTCCTTTGTTTTGCCTACACATGTTTACATCAAAAGCAGAGGATTACACTTGGGTCACAGAGGTAAACATCAGTTTCTTTAAAAGTTAATTAAACGGTGATTGAAATACCCAGATGGAAATTTAAAGATAAAAATTTCTGACGATTATTTTCACAATATGTACACATTATTCCAGTTTCGTGTTTGACATACTGTTTGCTAGGTTAGCATTTATGAATCACTTCTTTCACTTTGTTAATAATCAGGTATCATTTTGGTAGGAACAATAACGTTTTCTTCCAGTCAGTCCTACTTGCATTTTTATTCCAGTACACAATGCCACTTGGTCTTAATAGGTCAAGACTGGGTGGTTACTGTGTGTGATCTGAAGCATTGTTTTGTGATTGTAGCATCCCCGAAGGATGAGCAGCAGGACAAACAAACCAGCTGAACTCTTTGAAGATTTATGGAGGCAGCTTAGAGAGTGCCACCAGAATGCACTACAAGGTAAATGACCCCATGATGAATTGGCTGTACACATTAAGTGAATTATTGTATCAATCTGTGTACAGTCATGGCCAAAAATATTGGCACCCCTGCACTATTTTTTAAGTTTGCACTGGAACGGCATGAAAAGCGGGGGGGGGGGGG